CCCCGCATTGTGCTGCATTGAACTGCATATTGAAATTCTTCCCACTCATGCACACTGTGCTGCCCTAAACTGTATTGCATATGAGTATTCCCCCTGTACAGCATCATGCCTGCAGGCACCTGGCATCCTCCTCTGCTCCATAAGAAGGGGGGCATGCTGCCTCACTCTGCACCACCCCAGGCTGGGGGTAGGAAGGAAAAGTAGGAGGAGCCTGGCACCCTTGGCTACTGCTGTAACCAGAGCAATGGGAGAGCAGTGTCTGGGCAGGAGCCTGGAGGCTACAAAATCTAATCCCTTATGAGCTGTGAATTGGACAGCCCTGCAGTAGATGATTTATTTTACTTGCTTCCAGAACTGAGTAGGAGCAGGTAAAAGAGTGGGATCCAGATAGCCAGACATTTAGAGGGTAAAAATTGAAATACTGTCTGTACTGCAACAAAGCACCGTGTGAATTAACATTTTAAGTAACAAGGTGATAAATATGACAAATGTTAAGCATGTCAAGTAAAGTTGTAGTGGTGTTGTTGCCATGATGTTTGTGACAACCAAACTTTTTCACATTAATGCTTAATATTGTTTTAATAAACATGTCATTTAATTTTCAGCATGGGCAAAGCCTTAGAGATGCATGAGCTTTAATGTTAACATTCACTGAAGTTCATAAAGGTCACTGAAACTGGAGTCAGGTGCCAAATTTCTGTTCCTTTTCAATGGGAGTTGAGCACTTTATTTCTCTTTTCATCTTTGAAAATCTCCTCTCTCATCTAAATAAAAAATTTAATATGGCAGAAGAGCTTGGGATACTGCTTTGCAGAGAAAGCTTCCTACCTGCCATTGCAAGTGTGTTTGTCAAACCTTTTTTAAAAACTTAACTTCACTAAGTTTTTTTAAATATATTAAAACCAGCCCTAACATTCCTTTCTGCAGAGTGACTCAGGTTCTCCGTTCATTCAAAAGTGGTTCCATTTCACCTTGTAATCCCTTGAAATTGCTCAAGCTGCTTATTCAATGACATTATAGCAGTAAGATACATTCTTGAAGCAGGTTCTAATATTTGTTACTGTTTTTAGAAAATTGTATGTGCAGATAATTCTTTGTTTTCTTTAATTTAGGTCTTGAGCATCCAAGTAAAGTGTTTCCATGAAATCATTACAATAGGCTACAGAGTCTATCATTCCTATGATTTACCATGGTTTAGAACCCTAAGCTGGTAAGTAACACATGAGAATTTCAATCAGTGGAGATTAAGGTTAAGCTCTCCATATCCTGTAACACGGAAAAATAGCTTTGTGGCTAAAGTACAGGCTTGGGACTTGGGAGATCTGCTTTGTATACATGCCTCTATTGTCCTGTACATGTGTAACCTTGAACAAGTCAGTTGGCCTTTCATAGCCCTAGTTTCTCCCAGCTTTACCATGTATTTACATGTTTAGAGTAATAAAATTGGAATGAGGCCCATGTGCAGTAATATGCTGTATACTTTTCACTCTATGATTAAATATGCACATTTGAGTTAACTGAGATAAGCAGCCCCTGTTTATAGGAACATACGAAATGCCATAATGGTTTGCATGGAAAGTCCATCCAGTCCACTATGGGTTTTTTGGCAGTAGCAGGTACTGGAGGCTTCTGAAGAAGATAGAAGAACCCTGCAGGTGGTAAATGTGGAACAGTCTTTACCTTCTTGTAGGTCACATCCTGGTTATATTTAAAGATTATCTTAAACCACAGAAATAAAAGGGTTCATGTCTCTTCCAAAGTTTGTAATTAATTATGGCATTGTTGGCTATTCTTGATATCCAGTCCCTTTTTTACTTTTAAATTCTTCTCCTCAGTGACTTTGTGGTAATTAATTCCCTAGTTTAATAACGTATTATATTTAAAAAAAAAACATTTTTAGTTTTGAATTTCCTACTTTTTAAAATGTCATTGAATATTCCTTTGTTCAAGGAAATTTAGAGATAAAAGTGCAATAGCCTATACATGTGCTTACATACTTGATTTCAGAGAAAGATAGAGACTTGTTGCATGTTAAACTGCAGTGTCCTTAGTGTATTCACCAAATTATATTTGTACACCAGCATCATATTGCTGGATATGTGTGGATTAAGGATATTTTATGATGTTAGTAGTGCCTGTTCTTAGTTATCTTATTTATCTGTTTCTGACTTGAGGTCTTTATTGTCTGTCTTCAGACATAGGATTACTGTTTATAAATAATGAAGACCATGCAAGAAAGAGAAAAGATAGAGTGTGGCAGGGAGGGGAAGGTGACATACCTCTTTCATGGTCCTATTGCTAAAGAAGCGTCTGCCTACACTGCAAAACCAAAACATTACCTCCCACTTGTTTACCATCCCACTACGTTTTAGGACTTGTTTTTATAGTAACAACTAACTTATTTTCTATTTGTTTGTCAAAGCTGAATATCATCCTAAAGCTGTGCAGAGAATTCTAGCAAATTTCCCATGCAGCATCTGGGAAGGTTTTTCAAGCATTGACTTAACTTACAAGGAGAGTGCTAATAATTAGTTCTGTATTTTTTAACTACAGAATATCATAATAGGGACTGTGTGTGTATAAAGGATTCAATGCTGTAATTCAACATGAACATTTTTAGCTAATTTCCTTCTCTGAAATGCTGGTATTTTTAAATAAATGTTATTTTAATAGAACTTAAACTGCAAGCACTGTCTTTTTGAAGCAGTATACATTTGTTTAATGATACTGAAGTATGAGTTTAAAATATTGGGCTTTTTTTAGGATCTCTGCCTCAGGTCCTAATTTTTAGGAATTAAAATTTTGTTTGCTTCTTCTTTTGTTGAATTAAACTGTACAAAGATGTATTTAATAGCACGTAAAATGAGCAGTATCTGTTGTTTGATTTAGGTACTTTTTGCTGTGTGTAAACTACTTTTTCTATGGAGAGACAGTGGCAGATTACTTTGCTACATTTGTTCAAAGAAGAGAGCAACTTCAGTTTCTAATTCGCTACCACAGGTTTATATCTTTTGCCCTCTACTTGACAGGTGAGCTTAATAGACCAATTCTAATGGTTAATATGTTATTTTTAATGTATCGCTGCACTATGTTTCACTGTTATGTTACATATTTTGCATATTTGTATTTCAGAAATTTATTTTATTCTTTCTAGCTTTCTTGCGTTCCATTATTTTCTTCCTGCCTCTCACCTTATTAAAGGAAACTGCATGTTTGCATTACATATTTCCAGTGAAAAAATTGAATAAAAAGCTTCCTGTCCACGTGTTATTGACGGTGACTATTGTTTAAGAGGTTTACCTAATGAGTAGATGATGGTGGGGATAATGGAGAAATAACAATTATAATGAATAAACAGAAATTTATTTACAGTTTAAAGCATCAGTCCAGTTTAAGTTCCTAAGTAGTCTTTTTACGGTCAATGGGACTACACACTTGATTAAGTCCCACGGTTTTATAACATAAGAGCATTGGAAAGTCTACATCAACATGATCTTACCATTTTATTTAAAACTTGGTAAGTGTGTGATGTGAAGCTCTTAGAAAAAGCAATAATACAAATGAGAACCAAACTTTACCTATGTAAATCACAGTGAGAGCTTCCTAAAATATTGAAGGAAATATGAGTTTTAAACAGATTGCCCATTCTCAGAAAATGAAATTTAGCTTGTTTTCATAGAATAAATGCATCTCACTATGTTTTCATTAGCACAATTAAAGCTGCCTAACTAGTCAGTCATTCAGAAATCACAGGTCAGAGGGCTCTACATTTGAAAAGCTGTTGTTTGGATACTGTTTGAATATTGCTTCTAGGAAGGAATCTGTTTTGTTTCTTTTTGTTTTCAGAACATGTTTAGGAATAAAGAAAGCCTAAACTGCCCCTTTTCTGTAAGTTCTTTTGTAGTAATGTCCCTAATTAAAACTGGCTAGATTTTTTTATAGAATTTTGCTTTGCTTGGATGTTTTGTTTTGCTCAAATTATTTAAGCCTCATATATGTAAAAGCTATCTTCTCTCCCTTCTTTACATGAAACAGAAGAACATAAAACTTTTTGGTCCTGGTACGTAGTACATACTACTTTACTTCTAACAGTATTCCTTTTTTGTGTAGGGGGATGAAAGGTAAAGGGCATTTCTTTGAGCTGCTATTTCCCCAGCAGTAGGAATCTTGAACATGTTATTTTTAAGAAGTATTTTGTTCTATGATAAGGTGTCAGGCTGTGTGAATGGGGAAAGGACTGTGGATATGATCTGCCTTGGCTTTAGCAAGGCTTTTGACACTTTTTCCCTTAACATTCTCAATAAGCTAAGGAAATAGGGAGTACTGAGAGGAAAGTACTGTAAAGTGAATACATAACTGGTTGGATCATCATGCTCAATGAGTAGTCATTAGTGGCTCAGTGTGTAGTTGGGAGGAGCTATCAAGTGGGGTTCTCCAGGGGTCAGTGCTTGGTTTGCTGTTGTTTAACATCTTCATTAGTGATCTGGATGATGGGATTGAGTGTACACTTAGGAAATCTATAGGTGACGCCAAATTGGCTAGAGTTGGAGACACTGGAGGGTATGGCAAGTATCTAGAATGACCTGGAGAAATGGTCCAAAATTAATCAGATGAAATTCAGGAAGGATAAGTGCAGAGTCCTGCACTTGGGAGAGAATAATTGCATGCACAAATCAGGCTGGGCGGTGGTTGGCTAGGCTGTAATACTGCAAAGGAAGTTTTGGGGGTTACAGTGGACCATAAGCTGAATATGATCCAGCAGTGTACTTTTGTTGCAAAAAAGTCAACAGCATACAGGGGTGTATTAACAGGCGTGTCTCTTAGAGAGGGAAGTGTTTCTTCTGCTCTGTTTGGCACAGGTGAGTGAAGCCTTACCTGGAGCACTATGTCCATTTTTGAGCCCTATACTTCAAGAAAAATTTGTACAGATTAGAAAGAGTCCAGCAGAGAGCAACAAAAATTATTAAAGGCCTGGGAAACATGATTTATGAGGAAAGTATGAAAGAACTAACACAATTTAATCTGGAGATGAGAAAACTGAGTGGGGATTTATTAACAGTCTTCAAATACCTGAAGGGCTGTTATAAAGGGGTGGAAGTAGATTATTCTTTGCAGCTGTAAGGAACTGGACTTCAAGGAATGACCTCATGCTGCAGAAGAGGAAATTTAGGTTGGAGATTAGGAAGAACTTTCTGATATGAGGACGATCCCACACTCATTGAACCAGGTATGCCTGCATCAAGCATTGGAGCAGGCTAGAGAAGTCGTGGAATTTCCATCTCTGGAAATTTTCAAGGGCAGGTTAGACAGACACTTGGCTGGGATGGCTTAGTCAGGGATTATCCTGTCTTGAGTAGAGGCCTGGACTAGATGATTCCATGAAGTCCCTTCTAGCCCTACTTTCCTATTATCCTGTGACCTTTAGAGATGGAAAAGTAAGTTTGCTGAAAACATCTTTATGTTAGATTCTTGTTTACCTACCCAAATTATTACCAGAGGTGGGGTTTGGAATAATGATGCCAAACAGTTCATTTGTCCTTACTTTCTTTGTATTTAAAAAAATAAATATCCCCCCTCCCCCCAAATTCGTTGAAATTTCTTGTTCTTCAGAGGAAGTGGTTGAATTATTTTAGGCCATGAGATCCAGAAATGAAAATTCTGCAAAATATCTTTGTGGAAGCAGAATAAAAAGGTAAATATTTTTCTTACCACCATTTACTCCACTTTCATTGAAGACCCAGTACATTTACAAGAACGTACTCATTTCTGTTTCATGCAAAATCGGTACAATTTACTGCATTAAGCATGGGCGAATGGTGCCTCCTGAGTTGGGGGTGGGCACCAGATCACCGACAGGGAGGGAGGAGTCCCCCAGCGGCCAATTGCTGAGCCAGCAGTGAAACTGGAAGTGCACTTCCGCCGGCACTTCCAGTTTCACGACTGGCACTTCCAGGGGGTACACGGCCGATCTCAGGGAGTGCACGTACACCCGTGCGCACGCCCTACGTGTCACCAGTGGAATTAAGATTATTTTCTGTGGATTGTAACACAAGAGCCTGAACAGATGTTGACTTTTAAATTCTAGTTTGAACTTGAAGAGTTGATATATAGAAATGAATTGTTTTTCTGAACAAGTCTAAAACAGAAATGAGGAATAGACGAGCAGAATCCATCAAAGATACTTGAGTCAACTTTTAGTATTTTCCAGTGCTGCAGGCAAAAAAGTTCACACAGGGTAGAATCAGTAAGTGTTTCTTCACTGCAGGGAGGACTCATGTCAGTATACCTACACTGTCTCTAATCTAGTTAAGTAGTGTGGGTAACAGTAGCCATAAAGATATGGGTGTATGGGCTTCCACACAAGCTGTACAGCTCCATCAGGGGACTCTGAGTACACACTCAGGTAACTAGTCCTCAATGCTTCTGTGTCCTTACTACTGTTACCTATGACAGTGTGAGTGGGTGTTGGTTACCCGACCCTCCTCTCTTCAGGACTTGCCTGCCACGACTAAGGAGATGGAAAGATGATAAAATGTTAATCCCTGAAGGGGAGGGTGATAAGTAATGAACCACACAGGTGTCAGCTTCACTAAGTGCTGGCCTTTATTGATGCTTGATACAAAGTAAGTAACTGCGCTAATTGCCCTATGAGTGCAGAAGTGGCTGTTCTACTGCTTGGCTGATTGCCGTTTTTCTGATCTTCTCCTGATTGCGGTGGTCTCCTGGCCATCCTGATCAGGGAGTGCAGTTGTCTCTGGGATTTTCCCTGGAGCCATGTCCCCTGGGCTCTCGTGGGTCTTGCTGGCCTCCTGCCACAGCCCTCTGCATCAGCGTCCCCAGTCTTACCAGTTCATTGTTCCTGTTCGCAGTGCCTTTTGCCACTCAGCCATCCCTGCAGTTGAACTGCTGTGCTTCTCTCCAATGCCCCAGGGGCAAATGTGTGATCCCCAGCTCTGCCTTTTACACACCCTGATCCTTTCCTGGTGTGTAAACCCCCCACTGCTGTGCCCAGGCTTCAGCTCGAACCCCTGTTACACACCTCCTCCCTTTGTTCAAAAAAACTTAAAGTTGGCCAGTCTTCATGATCCTTGACCAGGCCAGCCATGTCCATTGCTCTCCCAGCGGTGTCTGTTGTGTCTTCGGTGCATGACAAGATGTCCACGTTCCCATTCTTCTTTCCCGCCCAGTGTCTTACAGTAAAATAAAAGGATTGTAAAGTGAGAGACCACCTCATTAGTCAGGCGTTATCTAGCTTGGCAGTTCGTAGCCAGGTGTAGAGGTGCATGGTCTATGATCAGCATGAACCTCTGACCCAGTAAGTAATAACAAAAGAGTTCCACCCTCCACCAGATGGTCAGGCACTCCCTTTCAATCATGGAATGTCAGGCTTCTGTGGTCATCAGTTTTTTGCTGGCAAAGGCTATCGGCCTTTCTTCTCCCCCTCTTCTTGGAAGAGAATGGCTCCCAGGACAGTGCCAGAGGCATCAGTTTGCAAAAGGAATGTCTTCTCGAAGTCTGGGGTGTAGAGTACTGGGTGTTGGCATAGGGCTGCCTTCACTAGTTCGAAAGCTTGGGTAGCCCTGGGGTTCCACTGGACCGGGTTCCTTCGTTCTTTTGTGAGTTCTGTCAGAGGTGCCGCTTTCTCAGAGAAATCTTGGATGAAGTGTCTATAGAAATTAGTGAAACCCAGAAAAGACCGTAGCTGCTTGACTGTACATGGTAATGGGTGCCGTCTGATGGCTGCCACCTTATCTGCTATGGGTTTTATTTTGCCCTGTCCAACCAGGAACCCGAGGTATTGAGTCTCCCTCTTTCCGAGCGCACATGTCCGAGGGTTTGTGGTCAGCCTGGCTGGCTGGAGTTTGTTGAGGATCTTCCGTAGATGTTGGCAGTGCATTTCCCAATCACTAGAGAAAATGATATCATCTATATACGCGGCCGCGTATTCCCAGTGCGGAGCTAACAGCTGGTCCCTCAGGTGCTGGAATGAGGCTGCCACTCCATGAAGCCCGAACAGCATCCGCCTGAA